AAAAAAAAAAAAAAAAAAAATGATTAATTTCTATTGTTTGTATTGATTTGATTTATTGTTAATTATTAACAGTAGCGCATTCGAGAATAATATATACGGGCCTATACCACCGGAGTTTGGAGAAATGACAGAGTTGGTCACCTTGAACCTTTTCAGCAACAATCTCAGTGGCGGAATTCCGCCGGAGTTAGGAAACTTGAAGAATTTGAAATTAATGTACGTTAATTTAATTATTTTTTAAATTTTTTCTCATACTATACAGTGTCATATTTTTTTTTTACACTGTAATTTTGAACATATTATTTTAATTTCAAATATTACACATATCAATTGAAAAAAATCATATTACCTATCCACTGTTTTAAAATCGGCCTAGGCACGCGCTAGGCAGTGTCCGGGCGCCTAGGCGCTCATAGACGGGCTCGACGGCAATTTTTTCAGTTTTTTTTTTAAATACTAATTATATTATTTTATTGTCGTGTTTTTCTAAAAAAATATTAATTTTATTATTTGGACTTAGGTGTGTCGATTTATTATAAGTTGAGATAATTTTATTTTTTACGATAGTTCAAATAAATAAAAAAAAACTAAGGTATTTATTTAATATTGATTTGTAGCCCCGACTAGGCGCCGGCTAGGCCCCGCCTAGGCGCTGGTCGAGCGCCTAGCGACTTCTAGAACACTGTCTATATTTGTAGCCTTAGTGTGATATATTTGATAGGCTTCTAAAAAATAATTTTACCAATTTTTATTATTTACAATATTCCCCTTCATTCCAAGTTCCAGTATTTCAATGTATTTCTAATTATAATTATTACAAATACAGTCTTAATTAATGTGATATCTCTTTATCTATCTTATAAAATGCTGACTTGTGTCTTTGATTTTTGCATGGACAGTCGGGTAATTAATAATCCAGGTTTATCAGGCCTCGTATCTGAGGCTCTGGCGTGTCACCCAGACAAGATTGAACTGTAAGTATTCAAGTTCCATTCATCGATACTAATGAGACGAGCTATAAAAAACTATGCAAACTCCCTGTTTTCCAGTCATAATGATAAGAGTTTAGCCGCTTATTTAAACAAACTTTAAATGAGCTCTAGCTCGAATCGTTTATAAAAAATGAAACGTTCCGAGCTACCACTCGGAGTGCCTACTAGGCTTACACTCTTGTCCGGTTGTCGCTACCCCGATGAGAGGCAGAGGGCACCATCCAGCGCATGTACTGGCCGTATGACCCATGCACCCGATTGGGAGCTTGGTGATGGCACCAATCATTAGTTCCCAACCATGAGGTGAATGAAATCCGATACATAAATCGGTTAATAAAAGAATCAAAAAGGCTTTGACTGTATCACTTAAATTAGATAAGAATTTCTGAGCCCAAGAGTTAAGAATAACAAGTTTTTCATGCCCTAAAATAGAATAACCGCTTAGAATAAAAAAACAGATTATATTTGTTGAGAAGTGCAAAATTGTATGGATACAATCCTCGTTATGTATCTTGCGAGTTGGGCTTGAAAGTGAACTCGACTCGTTTCATTTAACATGCCTAAACAATAAGGTAATAAGTTTTTAAATCTAATTCACCCCTCTTTCTATGTTCTTCCATTTAATATTTTGAATTTACGTTATTTTACCGTGCATTAATTACACCAGACATAGATGAATTTAAGTGGAATGTTACAAATTTAATGGAAAAAATATTTAATTATGTTTTATACTTATACATGTATGCATTTTAGTGTGTTTGTACTTAATCTCAGATTAATCCATATTGTTATGTTATATATGCAGGGATATAGGGGGAACCGGTTTGACTCTCCCTAATTGCACTTAGTTTTTTGGAGTGCGAGTCTTGAGATTTTATATACTAAAATGATGCTTAAATAAGGCTACTTGATAGTCATCACTTTCTTTGTGCATTTCCCTTTCAACTTTTGTGTTCATGTCTTACTTATATATAATCTCTGCGGATTAAGAAATATGTAATAGAATTCCAATGCAATTTGGCGTGTGCATATATATATATATATATATGCACTTATTTTCTATTTATATAATTTACATATGGTTGAATTTTCATCTTTCAATGTTTGTTTGTGAGTTTCAATTTTCATCTTTCAGTCGTTGACTGTGAGCTTAAACATTAGGGGTGTAAATTCCCTCCCGGTTTGTTTAGCTACTTGCGCTACAAACTCATCAATTCTAGCAATCGACTATATTCTCTGGCTCTCAAGTTAAATCGTAGAATAATCATTATTTATCTCATATCAGTCTCAAAATAAATAACTAGCAGTTGTTCCTAATATATTTTATCATGCTCTCGGCCTATTTAGTCTCTTAAGTTGCAAATTTCTCAATTGAATATCTCCTTTCAATCTCAAATCAATTACAATTATGCATAAATATGGGAAATTTGAAATGAGTATGAAGCTTCAGTCACATGAAACAAGATATGAAAAAACATTGCATGCTCGAGAACACCCCAAAAACACAGAAAAATTTGAAAAATAAACAATGAGCTTCAAAAGATAACAAACAAAACCCATCTATGTCAATAACCACAACATTGCAATGTACTCGATAATTATTCGATATCACTACATTGATAGACAAGAAACACAATTTGCACAACCTATCGAACATTTTACACAACATGCATAAAGGTAACTATGGACTTAACCATCTTTAGAAAGTATGGCGTAGTACTCACTTCCATTGTAATGATGGACACCAACTTTAGAAAGCATGGCCTAGTACTCAGATCTTAGACTTCCTCAAAGGCAGGCAATTGTTACATATCAAAATCAACTTACCTACAATTCAACATTAAAAAAAAAAAAAAAAAAAAAAAAAAAAAAAAAAAAAAAAAAAAAAAAAAAAAAAAAAACAAAACAAGATACATCAAACCCAGCATTTTTTTAACCCACTTAAAAAAATAAATAAACAATATAAAAGGGAAAAAAAAAAAAACAGACCTTTGAAGCTCCTGATAGTCTTGAGCACAGTCTTGTAACTACGAGTGTATTTCCACTCTTCATTGCAAGAGCCAACCTGTTGATGCCTTCATGGCTCTTCTTTTGAACAACCAATTTTATCATTGTTACTCAAGTTTTGAATTAATATATTCACTTTTCTATAAATCGGTTTAAATTATAACATAGACCCTCAGAGTCACAAATCACAATCATATATATATACACATACGTAGGATGTAGGAATAGAGAGATATGCACCGTTTTATTGTCGGCGGCCACTACTATTAGGCGTTAGCGGCGGTGAAGAGATGCAGAGTGGGAAGTGCGGCGGCCACGGGAGATACATAAGATGTGTGGGACTTAGGATAAAATTTACAGATATGTGAAGCCAAAATGTACGGGAATTACGTAGAAACAAAAGAGGGATGCGAGATTCATCGTTACCATCTCACTTTGTCAGTGTATATTTCATCAGCCGCTCCTTCACTCTGTGTATGTCTTAGGTCGTCGGCCAATTTGGTTTTGAAAGTGAAAAAAAAAAAAAAAAAAAAGAAGAATTGTTTGAAAGAAAAAGGGTTTTCTTTTGGGAAATTGATAAGTTGCCACTATGCTCGATAAAACTAGTAAAAAATGTAGATGACTGTTGATTAGTTAATTGATAGTTTATACTTGAATTATAAGCTTATGTTATAACCTAAAAATTAGTTAATCTATATCTATCTATCTATCTATCTATCTATCTATCTATCTATCTATACTATTATAAAAAATCCAATGAATCTGTAAAAATATGATATCCCTAAATTAACCTTACTTTGTCATGTTTATAATGTCAATTTTGTAATTTAATACCCCCATTCTATACTAATATTTTTAATTAAA